AGTGCGGGGCCCCATTCCCTCGGGAGAAACGGCCCCTTCCCCCCCCATCTCCGCCAGCCCACGGAGAGGATGGGGAAAGTCCAGCCACGATGCAGCAGCGCCAAGCCCAACGCTCTGCAAAGAGCCCCCAGGGACGGGCTGAGACATCCTCAGCTCCCATACCATCAAACGGCCAAAAAAACCCCCAGAAAGAGAGTTCGAAGAAAAAGACATTCCCCAAACAAGGATCCTTGGCAACGAGCAGCCACGGGGAGGGGGTTGAAGCTATCTTCCCTCGCGGGAAAGAGCATAGCCCTGCCTCTTCGGGCAGCCGAAAAATTTCCTTAAGTAGCACCTTCTCGCCCGCGATCTGGCCCCGGGGACGAGCGCCGGCTGCCAGTCACTAAGGCCTGCAAGAGTTTGGGTTTTTTTGTGCATGGGCCAGCATCTCCGTGCTCCAGGTCTGGCGACGGATAAGTGGCGGATGGTGGGTTTGGTTTCAAGGGGCCTCTGGCTCCGCCGGGCAGAGGAGGGAATGTGCTTTGTGGTTCCCTGAAGGTCTAACAGCCTCCTTCCACTTTGATGTGTAAAATCTTGGAGAAGCCGGGTCTCTTCCTCAGGGCCTGGAAGAGAAGCAGAGAGCATGGTCGGTGCAGGACCTGGCAGTCTTGCTGCCCCACAGGTTGAGAAGGAGAGAGGACATCTCGAATCCCCACCATGGGAAGGGGTCCACCCTGGTCCCATCCCCACCACCGCTTCCCACGGGGACTTGGCCTCCTTGCAGGACTGGCTCAATGCCTCTTCATCTCATGCCCTTGAAGCTAGCTCTGGATTTGTTTTCTGCTTGGTTAAAAAACCTGTTTCCAGAGGACAGTAGTAGTTTGGGGCAGATGACATCAACGTGCAGGGGCAGGTGGGATTTGCAAAGCACGGCGGTGGGCGGCCGCACAAGAAAAGCGCTTTCGAAACGGCTCTTCTTTGAAGGTGGCCCCCAGCCTGGGGATGGATGTGGTTCTGTCTCGCTGCCCACTGTTGTTCCCATGCCAGGGCTTGGTGATGGAGGAGGAACCGCACGAGCCATCTGACCCCATCCGACTGCACCGGTAGGCCTCCTTCCCCAAGCCCTGCTTTGCATCCCATGGCAGTTTCGCCTTACACCCCCATGGAAGCCCAGCCTGCTGCAGGATGAAGTCAACCAGATGATGAAGTGAAATGGAGGCACCTATTTTCCCCCTTGGACATGGGGTGGAGATGCCTGCCTTAGACCCTGAATAGATCAAGGACAGCCCAAGCCCTGCTGAGTGTCACAAGCTAAGCAAGGTCTGCGACGTGGCATAACTAAAATTAACCTTATTTCTGCTTTCATGGGTGGATTTTAAATCACTGCACAGTGTTCGGCAAGTAAGTGGCCCTGCGAAGGAGGCAACAGCCCTTTTCCATCCCTGGGGAAGAGACCCACAGAGAAGCAGTCCTGGTTAAAGCAATGGGAAGGAATCACAGCATGTTATATCTCGTTTTAGCCTTTGGGGCACGTGTGTCTGAAGGATAGCGAGCCTTCAGGATGTCCCTAGTGAGCTAAAATGTTCTCTACTGAGGAAGTTCAGCGGTGGGCAAGAATTTGTCCTCAGACCCCATGGGGACACGAGACTGGTGACACACGGGTGACCTGGGAATGGCATCCTTTACCTGGAGTTTGTTTACCATTTCTTCAAACATCTTCTTGGCTTCAGGGCTGTGGGGCTCCTTGAAGTAGTCCACAATGCCCACCTGCACAACGATGGACTTCAGGTTCCGGCACACACCTGGGGACAGAGATACCGCCTGGCCTCGCCATACCTGGTGGGGAGATAGTCTCCCCACAGCCAGGATGGACCCTAAAGCCCACCCAGTGCTCCTCAAAGCCTTATGAAGTTGGGGAAACCTCACCCTGAAGATGGAGGAGACCTGCTCTTGGTGACTAAGACCTCTGTAGGGAGGACTGTGGTCTACGAGATGGTTCCCAGTTATCCCATTCCAATTCAGCAGTCCTACCTCTCACTTGGGAAACCCTTACTCTTCTACCCAGATAGGTGGGTTCCCAGTAAGTCCAACCACAGTCACATGTGCCACGACCACCAGGAATGGCACCTCAAACAGACCCTCCTGCCAGCTGCAGACCTCTTTCCCCCTGGAGCTCCCATCCTGGCAAATGGCTTCAGTAAATGGCGTGACTCCAAACTCAGATACACCAGGGTAAACCTCAGGTGTGCCACAGACATTGAGGCCTCCATTATACTGGAGGGAGCATGGAGGGAGTGTCTCCATCTTCCCTATGGCCCAAGGCAAAATCAGCGCTTCTTAACCCATCCTTGGCAGGGGGCTGCTGGACCTTCCACCACGGAGCTCCCAGCACCTTCCAGTGTTGGCAGTGGGTTCCTGTGGGTGGGGCTGGAAGGCAGCGCCTGGTTCATGGATCTGGATATCTGGTGGCCTTTTGGTCAATGGACGATGCTATGCACTCCCCCCTGGCATTGCTACTCACTGTTGAAGTGCAGCAAGGCTTTGGGGGTGACCGGCGTGGAGGTCAGCACTAGCATCTCCAGCCCCTTCAGCCCCTCTCGACACATCTCCGCTGCAACCTCCTGGTTGATCTCTGCCACGTGGTCTAGCTCCAGGACCTGAAGCCGCATGCAGTTTCGGGCTGGAAGGATAGAGCACCCGCCATCAGTGCCCCACGGGGAAGGGATGAGGACAACCGATGAGAATGGGGTGGTAAGAGGGATGGGTGGCAGCAAGGAGGGGCAGGGTGCACCCATGGTCCTTGGGGTGGGCTTCTCCGTTGAGATCCCCATGGGGCATCTCCTAGGGGTACACCCTGCCTTCAGCAAGGTCCCCTTCTCCTTGTCCCATCAGAGGAGAGCTGCCTACCTAAGGATGCCAGTCCCTGGACGCCGCAGCCTGCCCCTCCAACGCCCAGTGCCCGCAGGTGCGGCCAGCACCGGCCGATCATCTGAAGGCAACGGTTGCTGAAACGCGTCGGCTGCTGGCTGGGAAGATGAAGAAGAAAGAGCTGGGGAGGGCTGGCAGAAAAGCTCACCCCCCCGCCTCCCCACGAGTGTTCCTGCCAGTGGTGTGGGATTGGGACCCCTCCCACCCCACCAACCCGGGGGTCGCCACACCGTAAGGAGGTGTCTCCACAGCAGACGTCTCCACCTGAGCAACCACCCTGGGCTCTGCTGCAACCAGGACAGGGCAGGTCCATGCACTCAGTGAAGTCCCTCTGCCCCAAACCCTCCACCTTTGGAGATCTGAATCAGACCCTGAACTCTGTTGCTTGCAGTGATCAGGTAGCAGGAGCCTGGACCTCTAGCTCAGGTGCAGAAGCCTACATGCCCTGTGGTGTTTCCCCCAGGGAAGAAACAAGCCATCAGGGACTTGATATCCAGCTTCTCCTGGTAAGAGACATCCCCCCCTTTGTACACCTCGATCCAGACTGATGGGGGACACGACATTGCAACAAACCTCCCAGGACAAGAAGAAATGCCTGGGAGGCAGTTGCATGGCACAGAGGTTAAGGAGCCAAGTGACTCTGTGAACCATGAAATCCTGAGCACCCAGATGTTGTAGGGTGGAGATCCACCAGCTTCTTCACACCCCCAAAATGCTTTTCCAAAGTGAGAACAACTGCAGTCATCTCCCTAAGCAGCAACTCGACACCCTTTTAAAAACATCCAGGCCCTTCAGAGCTGCTGTTATATGAGCAGTGAGGAGCTCAGACAAGCGTTTGATGTTCGGCATTGCCTACCAGACCCATCACAGCTCCTCTTTCATCTCTGGTGTTAGCAGCCTCCCTGGAAACATCCCCGGCTCGGAAGGGAGGTGCTACACCCAAGAGCTCCCAGCCTTCGCAGGGAGGGATGGGGCTGAGCTCCCGGTCCCCCAAACTGGCCTCCAGGATTGCTGCTCATCCCATGAGCGCACCCCCCCCTTCCCCAAAGCAAATCTGGATCTGGCACCCAATTTCTTTCCAGCCCAGGGGTGCCCCTCACACTCAGCCTGGCCTCCTCCTAACATGATTCTTACCACGGATGCAGAGGTGCGACCTGGAGGGAGATGATGTCCCTGCAACCTGCTCCAAGGGCCCAGATGACTTCATGACCCACGGGGTCCGTAGAGCTCCTGGAACAACACAGAGGACACGTGGTGGCCCCCACCGGCAGTGATGCTGCCCTGGGGGCTGTGTCTGCAGCCCCCATGCTGCTACATCTCTCTGCACCTGGAGGTACAAATCTGGTCATTATTTATAACCCACGATCTGCCCATGAATCACACAGTCCCAACACCAACCCATGCAGGAAGGCTGAAGGTTGTTTCTCTCTAGAATTGTGCTTACGGATGTGCAATGTCAAGAAAAATGGAAGAAGGTGAGGCTGAAGGTGAGATCGAAGATGAGGTAGGGCTGAAGGTAAAGGCTGAAGGTGAGGTTGATGGTTGAAGGTGAGGTTGAAGGTGAAGGCATAAGTCTTCCAGATGCAAGGGTGGCAAGTGATTGAACTGAGACTACCAGGCCGTGTACCCTTGCAGAGCAAATATAACATCCCTGCAGATCCCTTTGGGTTGGTTTCACTTGCCACGGGCTCAGTCTGGATGGGGAAGGTGCCAGGAGGTGGTAAGGACGTTTCAGCTGACGGGTGGTAACTTTCAGCCAAGGGCAGTGGCTGCTCCATGGCCTCTGTACCAGCTCTGCGGTTGTGCCACCACATCTGTAGGTGTCTGTTGGCCAAATGTCACTGCAGAGGTTTGCCGTGGGCTCCTCCTTGGTGTTTTTGGAGGTATCAAAACAGACCTCACAGGATGCTGATGGATTCGTGCAGGGGCATGCTGGAGGTGTAGGTTTATCATGAGTCATGGCACTGATGAGGTGCTGCCACGCTGCCTGCCCACCTGGCATTTGTGCCACTGGCCCAGAGGAGCTTTTGCTGATGCCGTTGGCTCCCTGCACCGAGTCAATGGAGGAGAGATGTCAGAGAGCATCATCCTGATGCTAACAGCCCAAATAGAGACCCCTACCTGCTTCACTGCACTGGGCTCCCTCCTGAAGACTGAGGTGGCACTTCCTAACTCTAAATGACCTACTTCAAAGCTTCAGGCAAGCCTAAAAATAAGTGATGGGTGTTATCTTGAGCGTTTCACATGTCTCCACTGAAGATGCCTGCCAAGAGCCCCTTGTGAGCGCGGCGGGTTAATTAGAGCATGAGTCAGAATCACAGGTTAGCAATGTGCCAGGAGCACTTGAGCTTGCTCTAATGCCCTTGGAAGGACCAATGGAGGAGTCTTTGGGTTAAACCTGGTAGCGCTGGGCTGCCTCATGGTGTGGGATCCCCAGATCAGAACTGTTGCTTGGTCCAACATGGAGGAGCTGGCTGGGCGTGCTTTCCCACCTGAAGGATTCTCCATCCTGGGCTGGATGAGGACACCCATTGGCTGCAGGTCAAATGGATGCAGAGGCCAAACTGGTCATCTGCAGGTCACAGCAGAGCAAAGATCATCCTCCTTGAGAGTGTAGGAAAGCTAAATCCTGTCCATGCGAGGCAGAGCCTCTTCAGAAGGTGGCCAAGACCAAGGAGCAGTCAGTGATCTCCTCCAGGACCTGTGACCTCCTCCAGGACCTACACCATCATGGGGTTTGTGTCCTTGCTCTTGGGCAAGGTCTCCAAGTTGGGTCTTAGCAATCCTGTGGCAGAGCTGTTCCTCCCTCCCAGGACAGAGGGACCCCAAGGTCTCTTCTCCCCGTTAGAAGTTTTTGTCAGGAGGTGACAGTCAGGTGGGACCTCACTGGGCCCTGGTGTTGGTGCACCTCTTCTTCACCCTCCTCTAACATAAAGCAGTGTCCCCATACCAAGACCTTGGTCACACCTGCAGCTGGGTGAGATCGGGAACAGGACAACGGGAATGGAGCTGGAAGGGAAACATCTGCCTGAGAACATGCTGGAAGAGGATGAGAGTCACAAAGACAGGTTGCACTGGGGACTCTGGGGCTGCCCCTGGGATAGGGACATGGAAAGGTGGGTCCTTCACACCTGGCCAGATGGGCTGCGTTCTGACAGGGAATGGGGATGGGCATTAGAGGAGTCCCAGCACATCCCATGGAAGTTCCCAGCTTTATCCCAGCCAGGGAACCACACGGTGCCTGTGGGCAAGGGGTGGATGCTGGTGGTCATCCTTACCGGTACGTGACAGCCTGCAGGGCCCGGCAGTAGCAGCTGGCCAGCCAGAGCGAGCGATCCGTCAGCACGTTGGGGCAGTGCGAGATGCGGAGGATGAGCAGGTTGCTGCCCGTCGCCTTCAGCAGGGACTCCAGCCCGGCTTCCAAGCAGCCCCTGCCGGGGATGGAGGCAGGGTCAGGCACGGGCGCCCACGTTCACACTCCCCATGGCCACCCCAGGAGGGTGACATGTTCCATGGGGATCTGTGGCTCCAGGATGCCCAAAACCCACAGCAGGAGCCGGTGTGCGATCAACATCCATCAGTAGAAATGGGATGTTGGGGCTCATGGAGCATAAACATCCCTGAGGACCAGCAGCTCCGGCTGTGGGATGAGGGTGCTTGGGACACGGACGCTCACCGCGTGCTCTTCATGTAGTCTTCCTTGCTCTCCTTCTTCCCTCGCTGGCGCGGCTTGAGGTTTTGGAGGGTGAGGGAGTGCATCTGGGTGCACCACTGAGACAGCATGGCCAGGAACTGGGGGGACAGAGGTGGCCGTCACCGAGGGGGGCCCCCTCAGCATGTCCCATGCCACCCGTCCTTGTCTGTCTTTGGGCAGATCTGTGCACACACATGCACACACACAGGCATTTCTGCACACACACGTGCCATAAATATGTGAAAATGCACATGTGAGGTCATGCAAGAATGCATGCAACAAAATCACGGGTGTGACCATCAGAGCACGTGAAAACATGTGCACATGTGAGCTCATGCCCACAAGCATGCACGTGTGAATGTGCAACGCATCCAGCCGCTGGTGCCAGCACGCGGCTGTGTGCACCCATGTTCCCGTGACCATAATGGCATGACAATCAACACAAGCCAGATGCTTGCATAGCTTCACCTTTCTGGAAGAAAGGTCTCACCCCGGGCAGTGCCATCCCCATCCCCGGTACCTTGGAGGACATCGCAACCACCCCCCGCGTCCACACGGCTGGGTGCCGGGCCACGAACTTCCAGTCCTTGCACACCTCGGCCGCCCGCAGCAGGGTCTTGGTGTCCAGGTAGGTGAAGATGCAGAAAAGAGCTGCCCGCATCTTGAGGATCTCGGGGCTGATCACCTCGCTGGAGTGGCCCGG